GATACCAGGATGGGGTAGGATGTCAGAGGTGGATCTTTCTTGCTTTACTCTGCCTGAGTGCCATGGCGAGCCTCCTCCCCTGAGCTCAAGGCCCCGTTTTCCTGATAAAGCATCGCTTTATTACAGACTCGATTTGAGGGACAGTGTGAAGCAGGATTGGACGAGCCTGAGGGAATCGAGGGGTGTCTCTCACTCTGGCATTACAGTTCCAGGATCTTGTCTGCCTCCCTATGAAATCTGTTCATAGGGCTGCTGCTGTCCCTGCTCTGTGCTGGGTGCTGTGCTGGGGGGAGGGGGCGGGACTGTCAGCTGCAGCTCTGCCTCTGTGGAGCCAAGCCAGGATTTCACACTTGCTGTTCCCTGGGGTCCTGGCAGACTCCCCGAAGCCTCTGCAACCAGTGTGTCCAGTGCAAGTGCCAACACTGGGCTAATCCTGCTCTAGGGTGACCAGATGTCCCGATTTTATAGGGACAATCCCGATTTTTGGGTCTTTTTCTTATATAGGCTCCTATTACCCCCCCACCCTGTCCCAATTTTTCACACTTGCTGTCTGGTAACCTTATCCTGCTCCCATGGCTCGCAATGGGGGATGTGTCCTCACTGGGAGCAGGACGCAGCCCAGCTGTCTGCTAAGCACCGGGGGAATCTTTGCAGTGTCACGGTTTGGAGAACGTGCACAATCTTACCACCAGCCACGCCAACGTCCTCTCGCCTCTCAGGCGCCATCCTGCTGAGCACTCCCTGGAGGTGCTGAGCACCCTCTACTTCCATTTGCCCTAGAGGGCGCTCAGCCCAGAGCAGGATCAAGTCCCTGGAGACTATCCGTTGCCAAGGGCTCCTGACCAAACCCAGAAGGCTGGGCAGTGAGCTCTTGCTGCTCCTCTATCGGCCCCTTGCAGCGGGCGAGGCGCTGCACACCCAGAAAACCAGGCACGCCCTGGCTGGCTGCACCGATAACGGGGCTCAGAGCCATGCTGAGTGTTTGCACCTCATTGCCTAGTGCTGCTGATTCAAATTCAGTTACTGCCTGTTTACCGATCTAGGCCTCACAGTGCTTCTGAATAGAGATTCAGAACCAGCATCTCTCCAGCACAACAGTGTTAGATGCTGTGACCCAGGAGCACAGAACCCCTGAGAGCAAGCATCCAGCTGGAGATGCTCTGCTGGTGCCTCTTTCCTAGGCATGGTCAGGAACTCAGCATATCTCCTGGACAACAAAGCCCTCGCCATCCCGTCTGTGACCTTTCATGTTTGTCTGTAGTCTCCCTTAGTTCATGGTTTTCAGTGTCACATTTGGGAGGGCGGGAGTGGGGGCAAGTGCATGCTGGATATTGCAGGAGAGGGGGCTGGGCTGTTATCAGAAGATGGAAACACTGAAAGTTACACAGTGTAGGCACTGAAAGCTAGAACGTCATGGCAGCTACATACACAGCACCTAAGCAATGTGCAAGGATGATGCTGGTTTGCCATATGGCTCCTACCCACCTACCTTCAAACCCCCTGACCCAGAGAATGTCACAACTACACTTAAAACCAAAGTAACTGAAAGGGGGAGATTCCATGGAGCAGCAGCCTATAGTGGTTTCCTTTAATAGAGAAATTGAAAGAGGACATGGCTGCTTTTAGCAGATTGGGGACCCTGCTCATGCCCGGATATTTCCCCATTCCATCACAATGCCACATTCAACCTCTTTACAAAAACTAGAAAGCCTGGCCACCAGGATATTGCTGGACCTACTCCCACAAAAGCTCTCTGCAAACTTTTCCCCTCCCCAGTGGAGGAGCATATAGGTTTAGCTGAAGATACGGGAGAATAAGGAGCTGGGCTACTTTAAATGTATTTTGCAAAGTTTCTCTCTCTCAAATCTTCCCTCTCTTAAACAGCTGACCACCCTTCCCCAACACAGAGGGTCCTTCTGTCATTCCTTTGGAAGTCTGGGGTCAGTGAATTATGGGACTTAGAAAAATGGATGTTTCTTCTCCGAGATGAGCTTCTGCATCCTCCTGTTCATGAGTCTCATCTCCAGAACTCTGGTTACTTTACAGACAGGAGCCTTCATTTTATTTAGCACATTTTAAACATTCTGGCACTTTGCTTAGTTACCTTGCAAAACCAGCCGGTGGTTCCGATTTCACACTTACTTTATAGATCAGCCTCCAATCAAAGCCATGCACAAGCTTCGTTTTGCTGTTTGGACTCTGTAGGGGTTGATACAGTTAATTATTCTTCTGAATATATTATAACTTCTGAGTTTGCTGCTGCCGAGATGTCATGGTCTGCAAACTTTGCCTAAGGACCCGAGAGTCCACAGGCAGGACACAACCATTATAAGCTCAGCATGAGAAGAAGAAGAAAAAGCAGCTGGTTATACAGCACTTTCCACTTGATGATCTGGAAGCACATGGAGTGGAAATGTTATTATCCCCATTTTAGAGACAGGGAAAACTGAAGCAAAGGACATTTTCTGTTGGACATTTGCATCTCCTGTTGGGTGCAGTGGGAGCTGCTGATTTCCTGTTGCTGGATAGCAAGGCCAAGAGAGGTTAATATGTGACTTGCCCTGGGTCACACAGGCAGGACACAGCTCAGGCTTCTTATGTGCATGCAGGCAAAGATCCCTGCAGTACATGAATTCTTGGATAGAAAACTAGATGGCTGACACTCAGATTCTCCATGCTCTGCTGGCTTCAGGTTTCTTACATAGCCTCCCATTAGGCGCTTCATGCCAGGCACTGAAGTCTTATGCACTGTGCTTACCATCATGAAGTTTGCAGGTGCGGTTCCTTATGAGCTCCTTGCTCACTGATGCAGTGCTCACAGGGTCTGGAGCTGTTGTAAGATGCTTAAACTTTCTGCAGGCCCATCCTAACCTTTGTAAGTTCTGGGGTCCTTCCGTCCATACATACGGGAGGGTTGCCCTGTTCTCTATGACACTGCTGGGGGGCACACCCTGCTGGGCAGTACATGAACTGCTTTCTGGAATAGCAGTTATTCATTATGCCCTTTGAACCCTGACCCTCCTTCTCTGGGCTCTCCCGTGCCTCCCTTGGGATGCAGGAGAGACCTGCTGATCCCCTGGGGCCTGTGCACTGCTCTCATGCCCACCAGCTATGCTGGAGAGAGATCCCAAGCAGAATCCTCCGGCTCACTGAATAATGGATTTGAAATTGTACCTCTCAATAAAGGAATCTGCTGGAGCTTCATAAGACAGCTGGCTGGTTCCTGTTCGTGAAGGGGCTCACTGGCTCTGGGCACCAGTGACTGGTCTGAATTCATTACCCCTTCCTGCGTGCCAGACACAGCCCCGGGGAAAGGTGCCCTCTGACATCAGTGGGGCCAGACCAGCAGAGGGCAACATCCCTTTCACCTCCTAAGCATAGACTTCCAAAGGCCAGGCCTGGGGACAATTCTGAGTTTGCAGCCAGGCACCCTCACTGTCTGTCATGGGGTGGACTCAGGCCATTGCCTTGGTGGGGTGGAGGGGGGCTTGGCAGAAGCTTTTGCTTTTTGCTGTAGCTTAAACCTTGTTCCTCCCTGTTTCCAGGTGCCCCTCCCCCTTGGCCTGGAGGCTCAGGCTGGGTTTGCCTTAGGTGTGTTTGACCCCTGCCTCCTGCCTGCAATGGAAGGGCCAGGGGATTGGTGCAGGGAGCTCCTGGGCCATGCAGCTGCCCCACAGCCTTCCCCAGGGGCCTGTTCTCCCCTCTCAGCCCTCGTTGGCTTCATCTGACCCCAGTGAGTCATAGTGCAGAGGCTCTAGACAGGGCACATGCTGCGCACCTGCCAGCCCACCCCCGGATGGGTTGCCTGTCCCCCCACCAGCCTGCCCCTGGGTGGGGTCCCCGTCCCCTGCCAGCCCGCCCCTGGGTGGGGTCCCCATCCCCCACCAGCCTGCCCACTGGTGGGTTGCCTGTCCCTCCGCCAGCCTGCCCCTGGGTGGAGTCCGCATCCCTCTGCCAGCACACCCCTGGGTGGGGTCCCAAGGGTGCAGAAAGCCAGAGAACCCGGTGCCTTGCAAGAAGGGAGAGAGCCCAGGCCCCCAGACAGCTTTTCCTAGGCCCCTCGCCATAGATGCTGGGACTAGGGGAGCTGTTGCACCCCCTGGCTTGAAGTGGTTTCCTTTATATATGGGGTTTACAGTTTGGATCAATGGCTCTCAGCGCCCCCACTATACAAATTGTTCTGGCACCCTGCCCCTCACTGTGTGGCTGCACTGGCCCCAGAAGCTCCGCAGCCCCTCCTGCCCAGTGCTGCCCAGTTCCCATGAACAACCAGCCCCGAGGAGTCCATGGGCTGGCGGGTTGCAGCTGCACCCACAGGCCGTGGGCTGAGGCACAGAGCAGGCAGGGCCTGTCTCCGGTACCCTGGGGTCATTAACCAGGTGACAGGTCAAAGGAGGGCCCGATCCTGCACTCCGTGCCACTGGCTGGGCTCATGCAGACTCCGGGGGGAGGGGAGCTAAGGGGGTCCCAGGGCATGTCCTGTCCCCATGGCAGGAGTCTTGGGAAACACCCGCCAAGGCAAAGAACCTGCTTCCCAGCGAGCCCGATCCTGCCGTCCCCCCAGTCCCCGGCCGGGCCCCGCGCGGCTCCGGTACCCCAGGGCGTGGCTGCTCGGTGAAAAGCAGATCAAAACCCAGCGGCACCGCCGAGCCCGGCCCCGGCTGGGGTCAGCCAGAGGAGTGGTGGGCGGGAGCCGCGGGGCTGGGGGCTCCGGGGTCCGGGAAACGTGCAGAAGCTGCGCCGTGCGTATGGGGACGCTGGCTGGGAGCGCAGCAGAGACGTGGCCCTCGCAACACCCAAAGGTGCGGGTCCCCCGGGACTGGTGTATGGCTGCGCCGAGGGGTCCCCGCCCGGCCGCCCCGGGTGGGGTGCTGCGTCGCAGCGCTGCCGGGTGCGCCACGGGACCCACCCGCTGCTGTCACCCGGCCCAGCTGCCCCTGCAGCCCGCACCCTCCAGCCCCAGCCCCGCGCGGCGCAAGGAGAGAGCAGGACAGCACACGTGGAGCGCAAGGCAGCGGCTTTTATTTCAGATCATTGGGCTGCTTGGTTGCGCACAGGGGCTGGCGGAGGCCAGCCCGGCCGAGGCCGCCGCCTAACGGTACTTGGAGGTCAGCACAGTGCCCACAGCGCTCAGGAACTTGTCCAGGGAGACGTGGACCTCGGGGGTCAAGACGCTGGGCTGGTGGATGGCCACGACCACCAGGAAGCAGTGGTTCAGAAACTGGAAGACAAGGCACGCGAGTGAGAAAAGCTGGGAACCGGCTGCACAGAAGGGGCCACCCAGCTGCTGCCCGAACCGGCCTCAGCTAGCCCGGCACCGTCCTCCCGGCCCTGTTCAGTCATGGGGCGCCCCTATAACCCAGCAGTCCGCCCCAGGGGCGGGGGCACAGGGACAGCAAGGGCTGCGGGCGCCGCATAGGAGGGAGGTTGGGGAGTGCCCCGGGGGAGGGGGGAGCAGCGGGCTCGGACCCGCGAGGAGCATTTCTCCTGGTCACTCACTTTGAAGTTGACGGGATCCACGCGCAGGGTCTGGGCGTGTATGTCGCTCAGCTTGCTGAGAGCCGAGGCGAGGTCATCGATGTGGTTCACGGCTTCCCCCAGGGCAGTCAGCACCTTCTTGCCGTGGGTCCGGATCTGGGCGGAGCCGTGGTGCAGGTCGAAGTGCGGGAAGTAGGTCTTGGTCTGGGGGTAGACGGTGAACATCCTGCAAAGAACATGGCGGGTTAAGGGGGGGCTGGCCGGGCGCAGGCGGGGCGCGGGGCAGGGCGCAGCGGCTGTTACCTCTCCAGGGTCTCGGCGCCATACTCCTCCACGTGGGCGGCCACCTTGTTCCACACGGCCTTCACGTTGGCCTTGTCACCCGCGTTAAGCACCATGGTTCCGGCTCCGCAGCACCAATCCCTCCAGGGTACCCGCCTGCAGCCCCGGCCACCCTTATATCCCGTCCCCGCGGCCCGCCCCACCTCCCCCATTGGTTGGCACCGGGCCTGCCAGGGGACCGCTGAGCTGCTCTGCCTGCAGGATGCCCAGTAGGAGGCACTGGACCCCCGCGAAGAGAGCTGCTCTGCCGCCCGGACACTTCACACACCCCTGCGCAAGAAAGAGGGGGCCTGTCCCCTGGGGGCGCACCGGGGAGAGCAAAGCGCAGGGGCAGGCGCATGTCCCTCATGCTGGGGCCACCAGTTGCCCTGGGCTCTGAAAGCCCCAGGAGCTGAACGATCCGCGGAGAGGCGCCACACTCAGCAGCGATCTCCCCGGCCTGCTGCCTAGTGGGCTAAGGGGAGAGCTGTCCAGAGTGCTGGGCTCCTCCGCCTTAGGCGGTGCCTATGGCTGGGCATCCTGGGGTCGCCCATGGAGCCCGTTGGGGGGCTCTGCCCGTAGAGGCAGCATGAGGCGGCGGGTCTGCTTGGGTGGACCCGGGCGCCTCCTTGAACTACAGACAAAACGAGAGAAACAATTCTCAGCCGAGAGTATCTTAGCCCACTCCCTGAATCCTCCGCCGCCTTTTCCCTGCCAGTGTCTGCTGCGCCCGGCAGAGAACACGGGCTTGGGAGGGGTGGCTCACGCTGCTAAGGAGAAAGTATAAAAAGTAGCATTAGCGCTACTCAGGGGGCAGTTCCCCCATACAGTGCTCCCCATACTGCCCCCTCCTATACACTGACCCCGGAAACACATTACCCCTCCTGGCCCCTTCACACATACTGGTCCCCTGCTAAGAACACAAGAATGGCCAGCCCAGTATTTTGTCTTCTGATAGTGGCCAGTGCCAGAGGGAGTGAATAGAGCAGGGCAATTATTGAGTGATCCATCCCCTTGTCCTCCACTCCTGGCCTCTGGCAGTTAGAGGTTTAGGGACACCCAGAGCATGAGGTTGCATCCACGAGCATCTTGGCTAATAGTGGTTGATGGACCTGTCCTCCATGGAATTCTCTAATTATTTTTTTGAACCCAGTTATTGTCTCGGCCTTCACAACATCCCCAGCAAAGAATTCCACAGTTTCATTGTTCCTTATGTGAAGAAGTAATTCCCTTTGTTTGGTTTAAACCTGTTGCCTGTTAATTTCATTGGGTGATCCCTGTTTTATGTGTTATGTGAAGGGGTAAATCGCACTTCCTTCTTTACGTTCTCCACACCACTCATGATTTTATGGTGTTCTATCACATCCCCCCGTTGTCTCTTTTCTAAACTGAAAAGTCCCAGGCTTTTTAATCTCTCCTCATACGGAAGCTGTTCCATATCCCTCATCATTTTTGTTGCCCTTCTCTATACTTTTTCAAATTCTATTTTTTTTAAACGAGGTGACCAGAACTGCCCGCAGTATTCAAGATGTGGGCATATCATAGATTTATATAGAGGCAATATGATCTTTTCTGTCTTATTATCTATCCCTTTGCTAATGGTTCCTAACACTGTTCGCTTTTTTGACTGCTGCTTCACATTGAGCAGTAGCTTTCAGAGAACTATCCACAATGACTCCAAGATCTCTTTCTGCAGTGGTAACAGCTAATGTAGCCCATCATTTTGTATGGATAGTTGGGATTATGTTTTCCAATGTAGATTCCTTTGCACTTATTAACATCTTCCATTTTGTTCATCTCCAGTCACCCAATTTTGTGAGATCCCTTCAGGGAGGCTGGAACAATGTATATCGTGGGGATGCTGTGAGCCACTGAACCAAACTGTAAACCCTGTGTATGATGAAAACCACTTCAAGCAGGGGGGTGCGGCAGCACCTCCAGCCTCTATGGATCCTTTCCTAACTCTTCACAGCTAGCCTTGGATTTAACTATCTTGAGTAGTTTTGTGTCATCTGCAAACTTTGCCACTTCACTGTTTACTCTTTTTCCCAGATAGTGTATGATTCTGTTGAACAGCACTGGTCCCAGTACAGATCCCTGCCCCCCATCCCATTTACTGCTCTCCATTGTGAAAAATGACCATTTCTTCCTACCCTTTGTTTCCTGTCTTTTAACCAGTTGCTGTTACATGAGAGGACCTTCTCTCTTATTCCACTGTGCCACCCCACACCCACTCCTCACACGCTGCTCCCTCATACAGACTTTCCCCATACACACATCCCCACACTGCCCCTTCATACACACTGCCCCTCCACACACTGTTCCCTCATACATACTCCCCCTCACACACACTGCCCCCACGCACTGCTGCTTCATACACACTGCCCCCCACACGCTGCCCCCACAGCCCTCGACCCAGACCCTCCACACACACTGCCAACCTGATGCTGCACCATCATATATATTTTACACACATACTGCCCCTTCATATTCACTGCCCCCCACACTACTGCCTCACACACACTGCCCTGTAACACAGACTGTGCTCCTCATACACTGCTGGCTCATACATACTGCCCCCTACACGTGCCCCCCCACTGCCCCTTCCTACAAACTGCCCCACGCGCTGCCCCCTCATATACACTCCCTCTCCATTCACTTCCCGTCCACACACTGCCCCCCATGCTGCTCCTTCATAAACACTGCCCCCACACATACTTCCCGTTCATACCCACTGTCCTCCCCACACACTTCCAGTTCATACACACTGACCCCTCCACACACACACTGCCCCCTCACATGCTCTGCCCTTTCGTACACACTTTCCCCCCCACACCCTAACCCTACACACACACAGTGCCCCCTCACACACACTGCCCTTTCGTACACAATGCCCCCCACACCCTACCTCTCCACACACACTGCCCTTTCATACACACTGCCCCCCCACACCCTACCCCTCCACACACACACTGCCTCCTCACATGCTCTGCCCTTTTGTACACACTGCCCCCCACGCCCTACCCCTCCACACACACACTGCCCCTTCACACACACTGCCCTTTCGTACACAATGCCCCCCCACACCCTACCTCTCCACAAACACACTGCTCCTTCACACACACTGCCCTTTCATACACACTGCCTCCCCACACCCTAACCCTACACACACTGCCCCTTCACACACACTGCCCTTTCGTACACAATGCCCCACACCCTACCTTTCCACAAACACACTGCCCCCTCACATCCTACCCCTTCACACACACACTGCCCCCTCACACACACTGCCCCCCACGCCCTACCCCTCCACACACACACTGTCCCCTCACACACTCTGCCCTTTTGTACACACTGCCCCCCACACCCTACCCCTTCACACACACACTGTCCCCTCACACACACTGCCCTTTCATACACACTGCCTCCCCACACCCTAACCCTCCACACACACACTGCCCCCTCACACACTCTACCCTTCCATACACTGCCCCCTCAAACACAGCTCCTCCCCACACACTGCTCCCTCGTATGCACTGCTCCACACACTGCTTCCTCATACACACAGCCCCACAAAGAGCACCACACACACAGTGCCACTCCTACACACTGCCACCACACTGTCCCCTCATATACATGGTCCCCTCACATACACTGACCCCCACACTGAGCCCCTCCCCACACACTATTCCCTCATACACACTGCCCCCCAACACTCTGCTTCTTTATACACTCTGCCCCCCACTGCTGCTCCATACAATTTCCCCCATACACACTGCCCCCCCACAATGCCCCTCTACATACAGCCACCTAATACATATTGCCCCCAAACACTGCCACTTCATACACACTGCCCCTTCAGATACATGTCCCCCCACACTGTGCCTTCATACACACTTTACACACAGCCCTTTCATATATTCTGCCCCCCAACACATGCCCCTTCATACACACTCCTCCCGCATGCTGCCCCCTCACATACACTCCCCCAACAGACCATCCTCACGCACTGCTCCCTCATACATACTGCCCCCATGCACACAGCCCCTTCATACACACTGCCCCCCAACATTCTGCTCCTTTATACACCCAGTCCCTTCACCGCTGCACCACACACTGGCCCCCATACGGTCCCCTCCTACACAGTGCCCCTCCATGTACTGTCTCCTCAGTCACTGTCCCCTTACAGTGCAGGGTCACACACCGCTCCCCCATGTTCACCATATACAAAACCCACAGTCACACTTCATCTACACACAAACACACACTTACAAACACTGCCACCCCAAAAACCCTGTCCTCTATTCACACACACATCCCCTCCCTCTCTCACAGGCTCACATACATACATGTTTGGTGATGATAGATAAAGAACACAAAGCACTTCACTAGGGTTCTGGCTGAGCCAGAGCACCGAAGACTCCCAAACAAAGGGAGAGGTTGGTGTGCACGCAGCACACAACTAATGTGGCACGGCCTATTTTAAACGGAGATTTAATGCAGGGCATGGGTGCTAAGTGGAGAGCTTTGGGGCTTTTCTTCTAAAAAATGGAAGCCATCCTCCCTCAGTCCAGCTGTCTTGGTTGGAGCAAAAGCGGAGGCTTCAGAGCAGTCATGGTTTGACCCAGGGTAACCAGTCCTGGTTTGTCCCAGACAATCACTAGTCTGAGAACAGTTTGGCCTGCACAGTGGGTAAGATGTCTGAGTCTCTGAATTATGGGACTCAAACTTCCCATGTGGAGCAGCTCCAGTATGGGAAGTTTGGGTCCCACAATTCAGCCCGTTCTGCAGATCTAAAGACAAGTGCTAAGTGATAGTGACAATTGAAGATAGGCCCTAATTCTGTCCCTAGAAGATAGTACGGCTCAAGGATCTCAAAGTAAAAAATTCAGCCTCCCCACTGCACACCCTCCTCCCCAGCCAAGTAGGTGAGGCATGTTAGTTCTATTTTGAAGATGAAGAAGCAGGAGGCAGAGAGAGACTAGAGAGTCAATGGGAGTGTGGCTATAGACTCTAAAGTGTCCAGGACTGGGCCCTTAGTGACTTGCCCCAGGTTGCACAGAAAGTCAGAGTTAGAAGCTCTGTCTCCTGCCCCCCTCCCCCCCCCCCAGCCCCTGCTTTCACCACAAGTCTGCTCCCGCTCTCACCTCAGCATGTCCACCAGCTGTGTACATGTTCTGGCTGATAAAAGCACACCCTGCAGCGCGGAGTGCTCCCACACTCTGACATGGCACTGGTGTTCCAGAGTCACTGCCTCTGTATTTTTCTTGTTGATTCTGCCAGTCCCTTTTGGAGTCGAGAAGCCCAAGCCCATGTGTACTTAATCTATTCTCTGCTACTATTGTCCTCCCATTCCTAGGAGTGGCCCTAGCATCTCCCAGGAGAGCTTAGTTATTCTTCTTGACCCTCTTTAGTATTGCAATAAGGACATTGTGCAGCCTCACCTTCTTATATCTACCTCTAGATCATTACTGTGAGTCTAACCCTGGTCCACTGGGGCCCAAAGTTGTGGTGGGTGACAGGAGCTGGCAGTCCGGGCCAGGTCCCCACATCAGACCCAGCAATAGGTAGAAAAGGCTGTTTCCAAGCACCCTTGGAAGTGATGGATTACAAAAACTTTGTAACTTTGTTACAAAAACAGGCCAATTCATCTTGAAAATGTTATCTACATGTGCTAAACAATCTGTTCCACTTGTATTTAGCTGGGACTCTCTGAGTCCCTTTCCCAGCCCGGAAGAAGAGCTCTTGATAAGCTCAAAAATGTCTCTCTCTCACCAGCAGAAGTTGGGCCAATAAAAGGTATTACCATACCTCCCCCACCTTGTGTCTCTAAAAACGTTGGCAACGCTGGGAGCCATTGAATCAAACTGTAAACCCTGTACAGGATGGAAACCACTTCAATCCAGCACCTGTGCCCTTGGCAGGTCTCATTGAGGAGTTTATCAGACCCGGTTGTTTCACAGAATGCAGACCCCAGTGACTTACAGGCAGCGGCAGAGCTGAGTACCCCCCCCCCCCAATAAGACACGGAGACAGAGCTGCGTGGTTGGCATCTTTATTGGGTCAGAACACAGCAGGGCGCGTGGCTAACCCGCCGGAGCCGCCAGAGCCAACCGCTCACCGGTACTTCTCGGCCAGCACCGCCGAGACGGCGGCCAGGAACTTGTCATAGGCGACGTGCACCTGCGGGGTGTACTCGTCGGCCAGGTGCACGGCCAGCACCACCTGGAAGCAGTGGGACAGCAGCTGCAAAGCAAAGCGCACAGTGTCAGCGGCAGACCAACCCTCGGCCCCAGGGAGCCCCGAGCCGGCAGCGCCTGGGACAGCCCGCACCCCCGGGAGAGAAGGGAAAGGGGGGGGCTGATCCCGCACCCCCGGGAACTCTCCCCGGCCCTGGCCTGCACTTGCCTTGAAGTTGACCGGGTCCACGCGCAGGTTGTAGGCGTGCAGGTTGCTGAGCTCGGAGAGCGCCTCGCTGAGGTTGTCCATGTGCCTCACGGCGTCCCCCAGAGCGGTCACCACCTTCTTGCCGTGGTGGCGGATCTGCTCCGAGTCATGGTGCAGGTCGAAGTGGGGGAAGTAGGTCTTGGTCTGGGGGTAGACGGCGAACATCCTGCGGGGGAGGGAGGGAGGTCAGAGACAGTGAATCCCAAAGTCCCCCACCCTGGGTGCCATGGGAGCCGCGCGCCGGCCGGCAGGGACACCCCGCGCCCTCCCGTCCGGGTGCCAGGGGAGCCCCCTGGCCGCCTGCCCAATCGGGTGGGGTGCCCCCATCAGCCCGGTCCAGCTGCGCAGCTGGGTCATTTCCAAGTCGTGCCTGCGCTGGTTTCCTCCCTGCCCCCGCCCTTACCTCTCCAGGGCCTCGGCCCCAAAGTCCTCCTGGTGCCCCAGCACCTTCTCCCAGGCGTGTTTGATCAGCTGCTTCTCGTCGTGGTTCAGCATGGCGGCGGTCGGGGGTCTGCGCTGGGCTGGCTGTCCGGGTCCGCTCGCCTCTGCCGCCCCCTTTATAGCTGTGGCAGCCGCCCTCCTCCTAGCTCCGGCTGGGCCGGCCCTGATCTTATCCGGGGCGAGGGGCGTGCGGCCGGGCAGCTATCGCCTTCCTAATGAGACCTGCCCGAGACACGGGGCACAGCCCGGCCTCCAGTCCTGGGACCCCGGAGCAGGCAAGCACATCCCGTGCCACTGTGCCTGGCAGGACAGCAAGGCAGAGGGTCTGGGAACAGCCCCACGGGCACCTAGCCCTCAGGGCAGATCCCACACAAAAAATCGAAGCACTCACAGTCCCCTCCCCAACCGCCAGGCCCCCGGCTAGCGCAAGGAAACAGCAGGAGGGCTGTAAAAATCATTAAACTGTAACGTCAAAGGAAATGTTCCAAGGGGCACCCTCCTGAGCCTTTCCTATCGTGGTCAGCCAAAAACCCCAGCTTCGACTGGTCTGCATCTGGTGCAGAACACTCCCTTTGCTGCTCTGGAGCATAACAGAAACTAGCCTCTTTGCCCCCAGAGGGTAGCACACAAGGGTCTCTTAGCACAGTCCACAGGGCCCTCTTATCCTCCCTTCAGTGACACCAGGGTAAACTAGGAAGGATTCCAAGGCACTAGGGTGAGCGGGGTGTAAATGAGGAGAATTTGACCCATCTCAAGCACTCTTGTTTTTCTTCACTTCCCTTGGGTAGTTCCATCCTGCTGGGAGATTTACTGCACTTGAACTTCTCAAGCTGCCCTCTATCTGCTTGTTTAGAAATTTCAATCTCTCATAGATTCCTAGACTGTAAGGCCACTAGGGACCATTTGATCATCTGCCTGACCTCTTGAATTTATCAGGTTTTAACTACCAACTGTTGGTTCTTGTTATGCCTTTCTCTGCTAGATAAAAGAGCTCTAGTCAAGGAAGGCCCCATGCTGTTTTGTTACATAAGCATATTTGGAAAAAGAAAAAACCCATAGTCTTCTAAGGAAAGACTCAATGCAAAATATGAATGTAACATGTCTACTGCTTCTCTCTACTCCCTTCACCCTTTGGGAGTCAACAGGATGTATGTCAAATTCAGTCTGTGTAGGAAGCAAAAATTCATTTTTAATTGTGTTGGCTGGGTTGGGGCTACAAAGTTAGGTCTCCCAGTTTACAGGGGTTCTGCCAGGGATGACCAAGAGAGGTGTGCACAAAGATCAAGGGAAAATGGCCTTTTCATAGTAACTAAACTGTTAGTAAATTTACAGCAGATTTTGGAATCACTTTATGAGGAATACAAGTTGCAGGGCACTATCAAGAACATTACCATTTCTGCTCTTTCTTCATTTGGCTATTTGCCTATGCAATTACAGTAATTAAACATGCAAATTACAAATATACAATTTGTGTGTACAACAGCCTATGTAAGTTATCAGGAATTCTGGTCTCTAAAGTGTATTTGTTATGCTTCAGGGTCAACAGACCACTTGCTCAAAACTCTCAAAGCTGTTGTCTCCAACATTGGTTCACATTTGTAACATTATTTTCACAACTATAAGGGCTATTAATTGTCTTTCAATGAAAACTTTCATTCTGCAGAATCTGAAGCTGAAGAGGTTATGATGGCCAAAAGTATAACTGGGTTCAAAAAAAGAACTAGATAAGTTCATGGAGGAGAGGTCCATCAATGGCTATTAGCCAAGATGCTCAGGGATGCAACCCCATGCTTTCAGAGTGGAGAGAGGTAAATAGTGGTATCCCCCAGGGGTCTGTACTGGGACCAGTTCTGTTCAACATATTCATTAATGATTTGGAAAAAGAGGTAAACAGTGAGGTTGCAAAATTTGCAGATGATACAAAACTACTCAAGATAGTTAAGTCCAAAGCAGACTGTGAAGAGTTACAAAGGGACCTCACAAAACTGGGTGTCTGGGCAACAAAATGGCAGATGAAATGCAATGTTGATAAATGCAAAATAATGTACATTGGAAAACGTAATCCCAGCAATACATAAAAAATGATGGGGTCTAAATTAGCTGTTACCACTCAAGAAAGATCTTGGAGTTTGTGGATAGTTCTCTGAAAACCTCCACTCAATGTGCAGCAGCAGTCAAAAAAGCTACCAGAATGTTGGGAATCATTAGGAAAGGGATAGATAATAAGACAGAAAATATCAATGCCTCTATATAAATCCATGGTACGCCCACATCATGAATACTGTGTGCAGATGTGGTCGTCCCATCTCAAAAAAGATATATTGGAATTGGAAAAGGTACAGAAAGGGGCAACACAAATGGTTAGGGGTATGGAACAGCTTCTGTATGAGGAGAGATTAATAAGACTGGGACTTTTCATCTTAGAAAAGAGATGACTAACAGATGATATGATAGAGGTCTATAAAATTATGACTGGTGTGGAGAAAGTAAATAAGGAAGTGTTATTTACTCCTCATAACTCAAGTATTGGGGTCACCAAATGAAATTAATAGGCCGCAAGTTTAAAACAAACAAAAGGAAGTACTTCTTAACACAAGGCACAGTCAACTTGTGGAACTCTTTGCCAAAGGATGTTTGTGAAGGCCGAGACTATAACAGGGTTCAAAAAATAACTAGATAATTTAATCAAGGATGGTGTCCCTATCCTTTGTTTGCCAGAATCTGGGAATGGATGACAGGGGATAGATCACTTGATGATTACCTGTTCTGTTCATTCCCTCTGAAGCACCTGGCATTGACCACTGTTTGAAGATAGGATACTGGGCTTAATGGACCTTTGGTTTGACCCAGTAGAGCTGTTCTTATGTTCTTATGCTCTGGGCATCCCATAACCTCTGATTACCAGCAGCTGAGAAGGGAAGAGAGGGCAGGATCACTCCATAATTGCCCTGTTCTGTACATTCCCTTCAAAACTCTGGTTCAGGTTATTGTTGGAGACAATAATGGGCAAGAGTGACTATGGTCTGACCTGGTCTGGCAGCTCTTATGTTCTTATATCATGGGATCCACCAGGCCAGGCCAGGAGTTTGTCAAGCCTGGTCCAGAGGAACCACAAGCCACAAAATCAGCCGTCTTGCTTGTAGGGATTTGTGATGGGATTTGTGTGTATAAACCCCACACTGGTAGTGACAGGGCTAAGGGGAGACCAAGAGTCCAATTAGCCTATTCTGACACCTCCAGGCAATAGAAGGAATTAAGGATTAGACCCAGCTGGGAAGAAACAGACTAAATGATTGCTATAAAGGAAGGGCCAATAGGGGAGGACTGAGAGAGAAGAGCTGCAGTAGGGATTGTATATCTTGGGTCTGGCCCTGAAGGGAGAAGGTAGAAGGTGTTCCAGGAGGCTGTGAAGCCACTGAAAGTGACACCCTTCAGCAGCAGAGTGATGAGAAGCAAAGCTGGACCTCTAGGAAGAGAGGATCACAGGACCTGAGTCTGAGGAATCACCTGCAGAGGCCCATGGTAGGAAGCAGGTCAAGGAAACAACAAGGGGTCAGAAGAGATTTCAACCACTTCCTACAGAGAGCCTGGAACCCAGAGGAGTGAGTGCCCTTGCTCCCCTGCCAAACCCAGCAAACCTTGAAAGAGTGAGCCATATCTGAGGGATTGTTGACCTTTGCTCCAGGTCTGAGGATCATAAAAGGGAAACTGAGTCAGAGTGCTACAATGCTGCATCCTAATGTGAGGTGTTGCTGAGGCGCTGAGCATGCACTGTTTCAGGCCTGATGCAACTGGGATTCTTTTTATTGATTTTAATGAGAACTGGATTGGGTCCCAATGGCTTTCTTTATTTACATCTACCTCTAGGTGTGATAGTTCTTTGCATATCATGATAAAATAAGGTTCTTCATCTCTAGCCTCTTCTAGTTCCAGATTACTCTGAAACTGGCACTAGTACAACAGTGAGTATTAAGTATCAGGGGGTAGCCGTGTTAGTCTGTATCTACAAAAACAACAAGGAGTCTGGTGGTACCTTAAAGACTAACAGATTTATTTGGGCATAAGCTTTCATGAGTAAAAACCTCACTTCTTCAGATGCATCCGAAGAAGTGAGGTTTTTTACTCACGAAAGCTTATGCCCAAATAAATCTGTTAGTCTTTAAGGTACCACCAGACTCCTTGTTGTTTTTGTAACAGTGAGTATTGTCACTGGACACTCCACTACTCAGGGGAGTCCACGCAACTCAGCATTTCCTCAGGGTGTCACAATTAAAATCACAACAGTGCCCATAAATCTTGCTGAAATCCTGCCCTGTGCCCTGCAGCCTTGGAATATTGTATTGCTTGTTTGTATTGGGGAAGTCAGCATGTTGCCCATGGAGCTGGAAAGGAACATGGGGAAAGGGGCTGGATATGGATACAATGCCTGTCACCTCTGTCTTGGGTTCCACTCCAGCCTAGGTCAGGAGCAGGGGTGGCAGGTTTGTAGAAATTTTGATGGTGCCCAGAACCTGACCCCCTGCAAACTCTGCCCCCCCAACTCTTTTGTCCCGTCCCCCCACCTGCCTAAGGCTCTGGGAGGGAGCTTGGGTGGGGGGAAAGAGGTCGGGTGTAGGCCCTCGGTTGGAGTTGGTGATTAGAATGCAGGAGGGGTGCAGGCTCTGGGAGGGAGTTTGGGTGCAGAAGGGGTGAGAGGTTGGGCATTGGGAGGGAGTTTGGGTGGGGACGGGGGTCTGGGGTGCAGGGTCTGGGATGGAGTTTGGGTGCAGGCTCCGGGCTGGGGCAGAGGGTGAGAGATTGTGATGAAGTGGGACTGTTCTTAATGTTTCCTCTGAATACTGTAGGTGTGCCTCAATTTCCCCTCTGCTCACAGAGAGGAGACTTCACCAGAGTCCTGACTGGCTTTGTAGGGAGCAGTTCCAGAGCATTGCCTGGGGATTCCATGACAGGGGTGCAGACTCTGGGATGAGTTTGGGTGTAGGCTCTGGGCTGGGGCAAGAGTGGGGGTGCAGGAGGAGGTGAGGGGTGCAGGCTCTGGGAGGGAGTTTGGGGATGGAAGGGGGTGAGGGCTGTGGGGGTGGGACTGGGGATGAGGGGTTTGGGGTGTGGAAGGGGGCTCAGGGCTGGGGCAGAGGGTTAGGGTGTGGGGGGTGAGGGCTCTGTCTGGGGGTGCAGGCTCTGGGGTGGGGCAGGGCTGGGGATTAATTTGGGGTGCAGGCAGGCTGCCCCGGGGCTGGGGCCAGAGAGGAGGACTCCCCCCAGCCCTCTCCCTGCTGGCAGCAGTGAGTTCTAGGGGAGGGGCCCCTCTCTGCCTCCTGGCAGCACACCTACCCAGCACCACTGTCACTGCACATGCTCCTAGGGCCCCTCTCAGGTCCAGGAAGCCCCCTCGCCTCTCCTGTGGTGGGTACTGGGGGGAGGCTTCCATCACATGTGCATCTCCTCCCCTGCTGCTGCCCCTCACTGTAGCCTCACTGGGGGTGGGGGATGGGGCTGCCCCTTGCTGGGGGTGGGGCAGGAGCAGTGACTGTGGGCTGCGGGGGAGGCCCTGTGCTGGTGGAGGGTCACACCGGAAAAGGGAAGTGTCCAAGGCAGAAGCGCAGGGTAAGGGCAGCCTGCCCTGCAACTCTGCGGCAGCAGTTGATGCCGGGAGCTGGCAGAGCAGAGTCAGTGTGGAGCTGCAGGCTCTGGGGGCCCGAGATGCATGGGGGCAGCAAGTGGGGGCTGGGGGATACTTGGGGGAGGCACGTGGGGGTGGCAGGCAGGGCCAGGGGAGAGACCCGGCCCCAAACATTGGTGGAGTCGGGCTCCCAGGCCCTGAATATTGCTGGAGCCCGGGCACCATGGGACCCATACAACTCACCGCCCCTGGTCAAGAGTCTGGCTAGGCATCCTGAGAATGGGAATGTAATACAGAACCTTTCACCTTTGAGTCACCATTGACAAAGTCACTAACCTCTGGCAGCTGTTTGGTTACCTGTGTACAATGAATTAGGACTGGACATAATAGGAACTGTTGCTGGCAATCTGAGACTGAATCATGGAGACCGAATGAGAGTGGCCCATCTAGACCAGGGCAGGGTGGGATGCTGCTGCCCATCGGAAGACAGAGGACTTAATGCTCAAGACTGTCAGTCTGGCAGCTCCCACCAGCACTGACTTAACTTGAAATATAAATGCATAAAACAGAACCAGGCTTTGAAGTCCTGCTAGAGAACTTTCCTCTGCTTTCACACAGCATCCCAGCTACACTTGCACCACAGTGGCTTTGTCTAGCCAGGCAAATCAGCTGGGGAGGGGGTGTCTCAGAGATACTGCCAGCCTGGCTCAGCCCAGGGTCCTCTTAGCCCAGGAGCTTTCCTCTGGCAATGGTCAGCACCAACACCAGCACCAGAATATACAAAGATCCCTGCACTGGCAGTTCTGGTATAGCCTGCCCACAAAGGAGTTTCTTCCTAGACCCTTTCATTAGAGGTTGTCTTATTTCCTGAAGTAGGAGGGTTCTATGCCTTAAAATGTTGGGTTTGGGGGAATCTTATCTAATGTAACTTCTCTTTAACAAGGATGTATCTAATTATTTGTGAATCTGGGTAAGTTCTTGGCCTCAATGAGATCTTGTGGTAATGAGTTCAACAGGCTAATTGTGCAAAAAATACTTCCTTGTATTGGTTTTAAATTTGCTGCCCTTCAGTTCAATGTATAATGAGAAAAGGGTAAATAGAAGTGTTTGTATGTGGATCCCAGATAATTAACCCCGTGGCATCCTATAGGGAATGTCAGAATGCCTTCCATTATGAACAATGATGTGTGGCTGCAGTCAGTAAAAAATTAAAGCACAGAGATCATGAAGACATATTTATTGACTTTTTGTTAAGGACAAAACCCATGTGTGGGGATTCATGAAGCATGCATGATGAGGGGTGGGAACTCCACTCCTAGCTGCCATGGCCTCATGCTCCAAGGAGACAGTTTATCTATACTTCTCAGTCAGCACCGAAGAAATCTGGGACAGGAACTTGTCCCACGCAGCATGAACTTCTGGGGTAAAGTCATTGGGAAAGTGGGCAGCAACAGAGCACAGAATGCAATGGGAAAGCAGCTGCAAGAGAAAAGAACAGGAGGCAATCAAATGGAACTGCCTGAAATAACATTCCTCTGGCTGGTGAGACTCCGGCCTTTAAAGAATCAAGCAGGAATCTCCTTGCCAGTTACAGAGTCGCATCATGTGGATATGAGCTATTGGCTGAGAAATCTGCCTTCTGGACTAGAGAAAAGTCATTGCTCCCTCTTCTCTCCTCCTCCCCCCCCCCCCCCAAACGGGGAATACAAAGTAACTGTGAATAACCCTTGCATTTATAGAAGGCTTTTCATGCAGGAACTTCAGAGCCCTTGGCCAAAAACTGTCAGTATCGTAATCCCCATTTTAGAGGGGGAAGATGAGGCACAGATGTGATGTGACACACCGTATATGGCAGAACCAGGAGCAGAACCAGGTCTACTCATTCCCAGACTGGTGTGCAGACTCCTGGACCACAGCTGCACTCTCAGGATTGACTGTTCCCAGCAAAGGCAGGAGTCTTAGCAAGCACAAGAGGGAACAGCCAAGAACTTCCACAACCACTCTGATTAAAGTGAAGCTGCAGCCACACTTCCAAGGCTCAGCATGATAATAGCTTCACCTCTGAGCTGCAAGGCTTAGTCCCTGCTGCACTCTGCACTACATGGGGAAGTATTCAGTGCTTAAGCTCCCATCAGCTGCAGTGGCCTGGGCCCACTGACTCAGTGATCAATGGACTCTCTTCACCCTCTGCACTGCATGTAGAAATTCACTCACCTTGAAGTTCACCGGATCAACTCGGAGGATGTAGGCATGCAGCTCGCTAAGTGTGGCCAAGGCACCTGTAATGTTATCGATGTTCTTGACAGCCTCACCAATAGCACCCAGGACCTTGGAGCCATGGCCATGAAGCTGAGCAGAACCTTGGCTGAGATCGAAATGAGGGAAATAGGTCTTGGTCTGGGGGAAGCTTGAAAAAAGTCTGGAAGAGAACATTAGAAATGGCTTGAGCAATGGAAATAGCACTGAGCAGCTGACACGGAGAAAGGGGGGCAATGACCCTGGATAAACACTCCCTTCTGCTCTTCTAGTCCAAAGCACTAGAACTGATAAAGAATGGATTAGAGAAGATCTGTGATCCTTAGACTGTTAATGTCCTACTGTAACCTGTACTAAACCATGAGCTGAAATGGTGCTGGAATATTCAAATGTTATAGGCCAGCAGTTCCACAGAAGCAGTTTGTAATCTTATTTCTTTATTTTAGGAAAAGAATATCAGACCATATTCATCCCTGGTATAACTGCATAAATCAATGGAGTCATAGCAGGGAGGTTTCTGGCCCACAGTGAATAATCAGATGTAGTGGGAGCCTAGAGGCAAATTTAGATTTGCATGCTGAAAAGTATTTAAAAAGCATTTTAAACTTACTTTCTTTTCTTCTTTGAACTAAATAACCTAATACCTGCACCTTCTGTAGTATATCTTCTTCAGCAGAACCAAGTTGTATTTCCTAATAATAGTTAGCAAAATCCATAACCTTACAGTGAATAGTCTATATACAGAGATATTTCATTGTCCAGAATCTTTGCTATACCTACTATAAGTGGGGCTATACATCCAGAAAGGACTATCAAAAGATTTAAAATTAACTGGCTGAATAACACAAACCTGGGACTATTCTTCTTCGTCTGAAGAAACCAAGCCTGGTTCAATCAGGTTCTTTCCCTCCCTTTGTGTCAACTTGTTTAGTTGATTAGTTTTAGATGGATTTCTACTGGAAGGGGCATAAGGTGGATCATCCCCAAACTTCAGCTGGGTTCATTTGAAATGTTTGGGGGGGAACATCCTCTTCACTTAACATAAACTTCACATAAAATATAATTTCCCAGTTCTGCCAATAAAAAGCTATATAGGTGTATTTACAGCAAACCCTCCGTGGACCTACAAGTTCATGTGGTTTGAAGTGATATACACTGCTAGGAGATGATTACTTCTTCTCCTACTAATCTGTTACACATCAAATGGAATGTTGAGACATGTTTCAAGCAATCTGCTTGAATGCCCTGTATATTATCCATTCTCAAGCATTGCTCAGTACTTGCCAATATAAATTGCATCATTCACATAAAACCCCACATCCATGCCTTTTCTTTTCATGTTCAGCTCATAACAATGATAACCTTTGCATTTGGCAAGGTATTATCTGGGTATTAATGACTATGTGGAGTCACTCTCCTGAACTCTCAGCTAGCATTCATGGAAAGTGCTATACAAGTGAATAGAAAATTACATTATTTCTTTAGAAACCATCCAGTAGGATTTGATAGCAGGAATATTATTCTCTGATAAATTCTAGAGTTTTAAAGTAATTTCTATAGAGCTCTACCACATTCTACTAGACTTTCCATGAAGGTTATTCTCCAAGAAAAGCTGAGGTCCTCAATCATCAATGTTTGAATAATACACTTTAAAATCTGCCCACTCAAGGGTGCCCAGTAGCCAACCATCACTGTCTCCGATTTCCCCAGGCCTCTGAATTACAGGCCCAGATTCACCCCTGGCAAAAGCAAGCACAGCTCAATTATTGTCAATGTTGCTAGGCCCATTTACACTGGTGGTGAATTTGGCCCACTGACTCTAATGAGAGTCTCAGGGCCTGATTCTGATCTCATTCACACAAGTTTTACACTAGAGTAAGTTCACCAGACTGAGATCAGAGACAGACCCACATTATCTAAGCATTGCTTACCTCTCCAGTGACTCGGTCCCAAGGGCATCAGCTTGGGCAGCGATCTTTCCCCAAATGGCAACCACTGCAGCCTTCTCAGCTTGAGTTAGAGTCATCGTTGCTGGAGCTTGTGAGATCAGCCTTCTTACAATGGAAACTCAGACAGGTCTGTGATGATTGCCTTCACAGCCTAAGTTATAAAGGGGAAGGGGAGAGCAGAACTTGGCTACTGTCCATTGTCATTGGTCACTTCTGGGACCCACCCAATCACGTGGGGCTATCTTATCTCCCTATGAAACAATGCCTTGCCCTGCTCTGGATTGTACACTGGGAGGTTTTATCAATTCCTCACATCTTAAGCAGCAATGGGATGGCCTTGGGAAATGAACTGGCCACAGGGGCACAGATGAGCAATCAAACAATACTGGGGAATCATAATGACAAAGTGAAAAATGTCAGGCCAAAGAGCATGGAGGGAATCATCATGTTTTACAAACACACTAAAAGGCTTAGAGAGAGGTGACAGCCGTGACAGATCACTGCTTTCCATATAATACATGGGACAGATCAGGATGTGCTAAATGCAGACTGTGGGTAAAATTCTGGCCACACTGAAGTCAGTGGGAATTCACCCTGTGTTGCTCCTGCAAAGAATTATTTACTAATTACACAAGGACATTACTACGTAGCACTAGTTAAAAAAAATTACATCACTTTAGATCTAAAAACTTCTCATGAAAGTAGCAGTAGTAATGATACTTTGTACAAACACACACACACACCCCTTGCTGAATTAAGTAGGGTTCCACAGAAATATGTGTGTGTGTATATGTGAAAATTATTATTATATACTACCTCTACATCTACAGAATGCTTCTGATCCCTAGATTTCAAAGTAGCAGCCGTGTTAGTCTGTATCCGCAAAAAGAACAGGAGTACTTGTGGCACCTTAGAGACTAATTTGTTAGTCTCTAAGGTGCCACAAGTACTCCTGTTCTTTTTTCTAGATTTCAAAGTGTCTGAGCCATGCTGCCTTCTTGCAGTAAAATAGCAGGCACCCAGAAATCAGTTTCTGAAACCTATAATTCATTGGCCTATAGGTATCTCTCTGGAGCTCATCGCTGGAGTATTTGATTCTTCAGGTCTTTCATTCCTTGACATATAATTATTACTATTATTTATCCCTTATATTGTGGGATAGCACAGAAGGCCCCAGTCAGGACTGGGAGCCCATTGTGTTGCATGCTGTACCAACTCACAGGAGGACACGGTTCCTCCCTGGAAGAGCTCACAGTCTAAATACACAGAAACAAGCAAGGTGTGGGGGGAGTGAATGAGCAAGGGGATGGCTGGCATATGTCTAGAGTCACTAGGCAGCCACGAGGGGCTGGAGGAATTGCCAGGCCCTGTGGTTAGACACAGTGTCAAAGAAATGCTCCTCTGGAGAAGATGCTGACGTGATTGCAAGAAGGACCCCTTGTCCCAGTGCCTGTGACACAGGCTACAACAAACCCATATGCCACCAAGATGAACTTATAAAAGCAATGCACACAGTTCCCCTCACCCCGCCATACTGACAGCAGGCCACAGACAAGAAACTGCCACCATCAGCCAAAATGAATGCCCTTGCACCTTGCCACAACTGCAGTGTGAGGCCTCATATACACAAGCCAGACCGACAACTGCCCTTTCCCCTAGAGGGGATTGGTGATCTGTGAAGATCAATAATTTGTGGAGGGTCAGGAGAGATGCTGTACAATCCACACCACCTTGTCGGGACATCATGTTTCATTGGAAACTGTCTGAACCACAAGGTCTTCGAGGAATAGATTTAAACCCAATGGCTACTGCTTTCTGGAGAAGGTAATTCTGCCTTACAGGGGACACCTTCCAGGGAACTAGTGGGGCTTAGGCCATTTGTGTGTCTCGGCGCTTGTCCAGATTAGGGAAATGTCCACTAATCATAGAACAATAGGGTTATAAGGGCGTGATTACACCTGTGGAAGCCTCTAATGGAGACACACTGCACCAGTGCAAAGTGGGGCTTGCCCCAGTGTGACCTGCCCTGCGACGGCTTGCCTGCACTACAGGCTTTTGCAGTGTGAGGCTGCACCAATGCAACCCCAGTGTGGATGCTCTGCACTGCTGTGAAACCAGAATCAAGCACCCCAGTGTAATGTGTCTACACTGGGGAAATCTGCAATGGTACAAACCCCCAATCTAGACAAGCCCTCAGCAGGCTCCATTTGCTCCTCTAGCCAGAGCATTCAGTCCTCCTCTAGCTGTGGTAGATGCAGAGCTGGAAGTGCTTCCCACTAACTGGTCCTGGCTGCTAGCCTCCACGACAGCTAACTGCACAGGGATGCCATGCATCATTATGCAGGGCTCCCTACCACTGGTGAGGCAGCAGGCTCTGTGCCTATGCTGTGGCAAGCATTGCTACTCAGGCCTGTGTAGGAGCATGGGAGGCACTGCTGCTCCCAGACAGGAGCATACTATTAGCAGGTGTCTTCAGTTAATGGAGAGAGAGGCTGCCCAGCAGCAGGACGTTTCCATGTGTGAGTGCTGGAGCCCTAGCAACAGTGACTAGTGCAGTGAAGGCTGGTGGCTCGAGTGTTTCCATTCTGATCAGGCTTCAGTTGACCCTTGACTCTCCAAACCCTTCACTGTTGGAATGGACATTTTCTGGGCCTGGTCTCTGCCTGTGGGTTTTTGTTGTAAGTTTGAGCCCATTATGGTCATCATATTTGGCATTGGGAAGGATTTTTCCCCCGGATCAGATTGGTGGAGACCCTAGGGGGTTTTCACCTTCCTCAGCAGTGTGGGGCACAGGTCACTTGCAGGTTTAAACTAGTGTAAATGGTGAATTCTCTGCAAGTTGAAGTCTTTAAGCCACGAGTTGAGGAGTTCAGTAACTCAGCCACAGGTTAGGGGTCTATTATGGCCTGCAATGTGCAGGAGATCAGGCTAGATGATCATGATGGTCCCTTCTGACCTCAAAATCTATGAATCTGTAAGAATAAAACCTTGCAATATTTTTTTGAACCTTCCTGGTAGGGTAGTGGCTGGAGTGGGAATTTGGTCGGGAAATAGGCCTCATTGAGGAGAAGTGCCTTTGAGTTTTCTGAGGAGAATTGGTTTTGAATGGGCAAAGGTACAAAACTCTGAAAATTGCCCTTTGTGCTTGTGCAGTAGGCTTTGAATGAGGCTTGGCATCATCCAGATGGCTAAGTAAGCAACGTCATCAAAAATGCCCTGGACCCTGCCACACACAATGTGCCCCAAGGGGGCTCTTGTGGACCCTTGGCACATTCAGCGCACACTATGTGAAGGAGATAAGGTTTTATTTGGCATGAGCCGCTAGGAAACACTCATGTGTTCGAGGGCACATCTAGCCCCTGTCATCATGGAGGAGGCCTTATGTAGCAGCATACTGGGGAGGGAAGGGGAGTGAAGCATGGATGAGGGGGGAGGTGGTAGAGTTGGGGCCAGATGATTGCTGATGCATCTTCACATCTTCCCCAGTGCCCTGTGGGCTGAAGTAGAGAGGATCTGGCCCAGCTACTCAGGCTGGGCACTAGGCTCAGGACTCTGGAAGTGCTGAGCTGCGCTGCATAAGTGAATAGTGCTTCCCTTGGAATTTCATTTATTACAGACCTCCTTTCTGCTTGGTCTTTATTCCTTTCAAAATATTATATACTATGTTAAAATTAGTGCACTCCAAAGCTAGGTCCCCTTAACTCTGCCCACTTGTGCATATGGCATATGACACAGCCCTTAATTACATAATCACATACTCCAGTATCCAGGAGACCTCTGCCTCATATAGCGGGTGAGGAAGGCTGCACACAGTGCAGTTACTAAGAAAACTGGCATTAAAAACCATTTATTTTCTCCATGAAAATTAAAATCTAATTTTAAAATGTTTTTAATAAGGACATTATTTGTAAATGGACACAATGTTCATGTATTTGTATCCACGAGTCCCCAGTCCACTCGTTGCATGCTACAATCTGCACAGAGGGCCAAATTCTTTTCTCAATCATAGGATTAATTCCATTTACTTCACTGCAGATGTCACTAGGAACAGAATTGGCCGAGAATGATGCAGGGCTTCTCAGGGTCCCTCCCTCATTCACTGTCCAACCTGAGCATCAAAGAGGCAGGGGCCCTGCAGAAATCATTGTCTGATCACATAACTAAGGACTGTACCATAATGTGCAGGCACTGAGGTTAGGTCTCCAGCGCAACTGTAACTCCGAGTATTGTGTCCATTTACAAGGAAATCTGTATGAAGCAGAGTTTAATTAAAACAAAACACAGCAAACGGTGACTGTTCCAATTAACTCCTGAACACTAGAACTACAATAAGGCAAGACCTCCAGTCAGCAGAAAAGCAAGGACAATGCTTCATTTGTTCACCTCTCAGATTACAGGTGTGTGTATAAATTTAGGGATTTCCCTTTGTGGGGACCAAGAACTCAATTTTGCCAAAGATCCTGTGGAAGTAAAAAGTGCAGCTGAGCTGTAGAGATAATGCACACCACTTAGCGTGCTAGATCTTCAAAGCACAGTATACATATATTTTCTCCCCATGAAATTCCCACTTAATGACTTATATAAAGATTTCTATACATGGAAACTTCAAGTAGTCAAATTAGATATCTTTAAACACTAAGAGTAGTTTGTGTGTGCACATGTGAGTATTGACAGAAAGAATACCTTGTTATGTGTTCTATATATTTTACATATATGTTAACATATTCTTTGTATGTTAGTTCAAGTTTTTATAATTCCTGTACTCAATCTTGTACTTGTAAATTATTTGTGTAATCTTGTTAAGATTAGTAATGGCTGTATAATATGCAGGCAAGAACACATACAAATATATCACACTGTGACTATTGACGCAAGTGCATTGTATGGCACCAAATATATAGTTATGAACAAACAGGATTTTTTTAAGCAAGTCAGTACTGTGAAACCTACTCAGAATGAATCCTGTTTAGAGTGAAGTACAGTTAGTTTTAGATTGTTCTGGGCATTGCAAGGTATAAATGGCAATTGGTTCCAACAGTCAAGCACTTCTGTGTTAAGAAATAAATAACAGGGTTCCCCTTGCTATTTACAACTAACTACTCCCAGGGCCGGCTCTGGCTTTTTTGCCGCCCCAGGCAAAAAAGCCTCC